AAAAAAAAAAAAAAAAAAAAAAAAAAAAAAATCGTATAGATAGGAGTAAATAATCATAATCATGTCCATAACACATCGATAACTATATAAATATCGATTCCTGTAAATTAATGATCGATCTAGTTTATGCCTAGTCAAACTAGTTGCCAGTTGAGAACAGATGTGGCGTAACATACGGAAACTAGACTATCGAAGATTACCATGATTGATTGATCTGTGTTGGTCAAAAAATAATAAAATTGTTGTAATCTGTTGACGTTCCTCTTTGTGTATGTGTTCTAGTGATGAAAAAGGAGAGGTTGTCTTTGTCGAATGTAAATAGATATCTTTTGCTGTATCTACGTCTTTGTGACCGTTTTTCACAAGTTGGTAGTGAATGAAGAGTGACAGATATTAGGATAAAATTGAGAAGTTTTCAATAGTAGATCAATTCATTATTTGTGTATGGCAGTAAACTTAAGTTCAAAATAGTTTTGTAAATAAATAACAATAAATTTGATGGTTGAACCATGAACCATATAACCTCTAACTCACACATTGCAGCTGACTCAACCATATATTTGCTAATTAAACAAGAATATAATGTCAAAACATTGTTTACTTTCATGATACTTCAACCAGCTATCTTTAAACCAATTCAACCCTATTTCTATATTAAATTAATGATGAAATTCGTACTACCAAAATTATTGTCCAATACGTGAGTCACGTGGACCGGTTCCCACACCCACTATGCGCCCACGCACCGCAACGTTGACATCACTTATGCAAGGGTTGTATTATCGTTCTTTCATACTTTTTATTGTCTGTATAAATATGGTAAAAATATTCTTTGGAATTTTGTTTCAAATAAGGAAAGTGTGTCTTGGAAATAATTTTATTATGCGAATTTTGGATTTGGTATTGTTGAGATGATGGTACTAGATGACAGGTTACGACGAAGTTACGAAGAGAGAAGATTTTAAATTACCATAGAAATATGCTTACTTTTGATATTAATTAATTTTTTAACTTTATGCAACAAGAGTACATAGGCGGGCTTAATGCCATGGGCATTCTTATTAGCCAACCTTTAGGTGATGCAGTGAGAGCGTGGTGGGTGCAATAAGTTGACAACGAGTATCTAATATAATATCAATATAATCTTGTAGATAATTTAATCAAAAATCATTTCAACGAAGAGCTTAAAGTGGCTATTTTAAATCCTACAGATGTAATCAATGTCGTCCACCCTCGCAACAACAATGAGACTATCTCTTATTCTACATTACGTTTCATTGTAATCAATTAAAGCCAACCCATAGTTACATTCCTACATCAGACTCGATTATTGGACATGTGGATACACGATCAAGTTAATGTGATTTTGCGCATACTATAATTTGGTTCTAGACCTTTCTTATTTACTCCATTATTAAGAAACAATTGCCTTATAGCTCTGTCATATTCGTACAGTTCTTATTAAACTTGATTGCATGTTTTCCTTTGAAGTTTTGTTTCTTTTACGAAGTTCATGCTCCTGTTCCAATACATTCATGTGATTGAATCTGTATCTTAAAATCATTAAATCGAAATTACTTCTGATCTGTACAAATTGATTTCTATTGAAGATTTAAATTGCAAACATGGACTAGATATGTCAATAAAATATAAAAAAATGTTTGCAGTTGATAAGCTAGATGGTATAATGGAATTGATTTCTGAATTTGATACTGCATAACTTACAGAATACTATGTAAGATACTATAAGATACGATTCCAAGGAATGGAGGACAAATTTGAAACGGTGCTAAACCAAGTAATCAAGTAACGAACTACAAAACAATCTATTTCCAATTTCACCGTCCATCTTTAGGTGTCAACAAACCGACCACAACAATATGCTGTCTAAATAAATATTTAATTGGTATTGCTAATTGCTTACTTGGTTCTATTGTTCTCTTGGCGATTCTTTCTCACAATTGCCATTGTGGTTAGACAATGTTGGGAGCTGACCTTAAGGATCATGATGCAACTTTTTGTTGCTGTAGGAAGCGATGGGTTCTTAGAACGATGCCTTTCGATTTAGGTTCTGATTATTGGGAACATCGTGGCCCTATTGTAAGAATCTCTTTGCTGTGTTGCGATTTGTTTAAATGTTATTTCCTGGTTTAAGAACGAAAAATGGTGCAACAGCCTAATCTTCTTTTGCGTCTACATCAGTATTGAGAGCTTTTAATTTGGTATCATTAATCTCGATAGTGTTTGTAACAGTTTTCTTAACTTTATTACTAGTTTTATTGTCCCATTTATAACTGTTTTTATTTATTGTTACAGATTCACGAGGAGGCAGAATAATTTGAGTAATGCGAACACTTCGGTGTAATAATTTCTGCGTAAGTACAGTTTTATGTAACATCCATTATATGCGGTTGTCGATTCGTTTTCAATTCGACACGCGTAGTTAGCGAGCTTGAAACTAGTGGTTACTTGATCTATGTTGATGTTAGCAAAAAGATAAGCCAGTTTAGTTGGAGTTGTATGAAAAATTCTTGCTTGTACATTTTTCATGAGTTTTTTGTCTTGTTCTGTGAGTTGACGGCTCAATTAGATGTGGTTTATGGTTAATGCAATCATCGTTAACGTGTTAGAGTTCTTTTATAATGACTGCTGGTGCAGACTGGGTTCTATTCACACGGAAGAAATATTTGTATCTGTTGACATGATTATCTGAGTTCAATATACTTGTGTTTGTAAACACTGGGAACATTTTAGCGCCTTTAGGCGTAGGTATCTTCCGGAGCAGGTCTCTTCAGAGGACCCGGTGCCCCTTACAGGTGCTGAGGGTGGCCACCGGGGTGGTTTTAGTGAGGTAAGAATCCCACACTCCCTAGTCTTTCTCCCCAAAAAGCTAGGCGCCTTTTGAAGGTTACCCCTCGACATCAAAAAAAAAAAAAAAAAGGCGTAGGTATCTATTATGGCAATTATCAAAATTATAAGACTATTTATCCTAGAATTATCAAGCAGTATATTAACTAATAATACTCGTTAAGCAGTTATTGGTAGACTGGCGTATAGTTTCAAACAAAGTCTCACGATATCGTGACGATCTCGTAATCGTATAGATAAATTGTTGAATGATATATTGCCATTATATTTCAAACCGTCGCTACTAGCCAGCCGGGGTAATGATTTGGTCGTACCGATTTGTTGTTTTAATCGAGTACTCGTTTTAAGGGCGGTTGTGAATATGTCATAAAGTGTGGTATTTTTTATGTTGCAACGAGATTTTTTTTGAGAAAACATGATAATATCATTTTATAATAATATGTCGAGTTAGATTCGATCAAAATTAGGTTTATTTCTCCGTTCTTTTAAACCTAGACGAGCAAGATGGTTCTTCTAAAGTAAAACGACGAATTCTTATTCTAAGTGTAACTTATACGTTTATTATGCAAACAAATTGCACTGTGACATGCAGTAGCCTTACGCAGATGGACCAGTTAACTAAGAAGATTGCAAGAAAATGTATTGGCTAATAATACGCATGCAACATCTTTCTAATCGCATTCAAATGCAGCCAATAATACGCGATTAGAATTTAAGAACTAACATCAGTCGATAAAATTTTAATTTCGCCCTTATAGTTATAGAAATAAGGACACTGAAACCTTCTAGCTATTTGCTCAGTAAAAGTTGTGTAACAGCATATCCTGCTCCAATTTTAGATTAATCTTTGACTATAAAACTATTGGTTTTATTGATCACTTGGTATATGCAAGTGAGAAAATTATCGAACCACTTAAACGACTTGTCTTAAGTAACGATTTGTTTTTAATTTATTGTTTTGGCTTACCTAATACAGTATGAATTTTGCAGAATATAGTCACATCTACATACATTCGTGAAATGAGAATGCATTGTATTGTATATTGAGTTTAACTAGGTTTAGGTAGATGTGTTGGTAGAACAAAAGCATATTAAAGTTATACCATAATTCAAGGCAAATGTTTTCTTAGTCATTTTTGACTGAAAATAGTTTTTGTCATCTTTAGTTATCTGTTTTAATTTATAGGTAATATTGCACTATACACCAAGAAAGCTATTACATATAGACCTCATATATACATACAGGCATAACCTCACGCCTATCTCCCAGCAATTGCATGCAGAGGCAGTTGGAACGCACATTGCTACGATGCTTACATTATTTTTTCGCTTCAATAGACCATAATTTACTGAAAACCAGTAAAATACGATAGATAATAAAGCTAACATTAAAATAATAAACACTTCACAAAAATAATAATCCGCGCATATTATTAGAGCAACAACTTTATCATAAATCGATTCAAATTCAATCGAATAACGAAATCGATTCATTAGAATGACGCCCACCTACGTCGATCGAAAATCGCTTATTGTGTTCTTGTTAAACTGTAATTATGTTAACAATTTGTTTAGTAAACTATATTTTGCACCCATTTGGATAATACTTGTTTATGAATTTATTATTATTTTAGCTATATCTTGCCTTAGGTCGAAGATAAAATGTTTTAATATCCCATAATATGTAAATAGTAGTGATTAGCTACGTACTTATTTGAATAGGGACTGCCTCGTTGGCCGTGTGGTCGCAAGTGCGATTGCCGGGCAAGGGGGTCTCGGGTTCGATTCCCGGGTCGGGCAAAGTAATACTGGGTTTTTTAAAAATTCTCAGTGTTAGCACGGTGTCTGGAATTGTGCCCGGTATATGGCAGTAGGCTCACCCTCTATTACATGGGACTCATAACATAAATAGTGAAAAGTGGGTGTTACATTGTACTGTGGCATTAAGTGCCGTAATGTGCACCTCTGCCTACCCCTTCGGGGATAAAAGGCGTGCAAGGAGTTTGGAACTGTGCCCGCACAGTCTCGTGCGACCACTGAGATTTTTTTAAAAACCCAATAATACTTTGCCCGAACCCGAGACCCCTTGCCCGGCAGTCGCACTTGCGACCACTCGGCCAACGAGGCAGTCTTTCGTCAAACTAATATCAATCAGACCGACTTACCGAGATATTTACTTGAGTACCTAAAGGTTTCATTTTAAGTAAATCCTCTTTAAGTCAAGCAATCAAGTATCATAATATTGCCATTACGGAGTAACTACAGGATGTTTCAAGCAATCAAACCAATTTATATTATCGATGGTATACTGTGTGAGTTTAAATAAAATAATTATATTAAAATGTTATAAAATGTCTGAACTTTTCTTCAGTAATACTTTCGAAGCCTCTTTTAGGGTTTCAGACCTAAAAGTTAATAACTAATACTGAGACTCTGTATTGTATATGAACCATGATAGAATAAATATTTTATGTTCCATGTAACAGTATCGGGTAACGATTTAAAGATTTCTTAGGTATTTAATTCTAAGACAGTTTGACATGTATGTATGTGTTTCAGTGCGAATATCTCACCATTGACTGACCCGATTTTCATGCGGTCTTCAGAAAAGGGTTTTTTTCACATAGGAGAAGGTTTAGTATATTAATTTACCGACTTCAAAAAAGAAGGGGTTGACTTCGGTTTTTTTAAACGTTGTATATCAAGAAGTAGTAATTGTTTGATTCTTATCATTTATATATTTATTTAAAATTCTCTATAAATTACATTTTTAAATACTACTTATAAAATAAAAAGTAATATCTATAAATATAAAAAATAGACTGCCTCGTTGGCCGAGTGGTCGTAAGTGCGACTGCCGGGCAAGGGGTCTCGGGTTCGATTCCCAGGTCGGGCAAAGTATTACTGGGTTTTTAAATATTCTCAGTAGTAGCACGGAGTCTGGAATTGTGCCCGGTATATGGCAATAGGCTCACCCCCTATTACATGGGACTCATAACATAAATAGTGAAAAGTGGGTGTTACATTGTACAGTGGTATAATGTGCACCTCTGCCTACCCCTTCTGGGATAAAAGGCGTGATGTTATGTTATGTGTATAAAAAATAGGAGCCGACCAGTAGCGGGACCATGGTCCAAGCTACCGGTGGTTAGGGCACCAGAGACAGATACCATACGTGCCGTTTCTAGGAGAACTGCCTTCTGTGTGATTCTTATATTATTATCCATGAAAATGGCAACGTTCAATGTCTCATGGTAAATCTGCCCTAATAAATAAATGGTTGTAATTGTTTAAACTTGTATTACAGAATACAGTACTTACTGTACCGTATACATGCATGTCAGATGACATAATAATCAATTTTGATTGCCAACACAATGATTGAGCTCAAATTCGTGACAGAGAAGAGTTAATTCGTTTCCACCTGCTAATTCAATTTGATTGACCAACAGATAGACACTTTAACATTTCCTTTTTAGCATTTTGAACGGCCAATTAAATACATTGGATTGATAGGTGCTTTACCTAATATTTTTTTTGCAATTAATTTCGCAATGATTAAAGGATTGCATGTACAATATGTCTGTTTGTAGTCTTGCAATGTATTCAAGTAATTAGCAAATAATTACTCTCTCGTTGATTGAAATGGCTATAAACTATATACGTGACTTTTGAAAACGAAGCCTTTTTATCGCTTACCTAGCTATCGGGTTATCCTTTACTTTTATTTATTTCTTAAGATCCAGCACTTTTCAACAGCTACGATTTCTTTTAGAAACTATTACCTTACATACATTATTTTGACTCCAGATAATTTTACGAGAACCCTACAATCGCTTGTCCCTTGTCCGACTTTTTTTTTGTGGGGGGAAAATCATCGAATATCTGCTCCCGCCTCAGTGTCAGACTCTTACTGACTAAAAACCACCCCGTTCCTTCTCCTGCACGTCGAGCCGGAGTCCCGGTAACCCATTAGGTTGTTCGCCACTCCGACTTAGGAATTGGAGCTGCACTTAACTAGTCTTATTTGACCGATGGTTCCACCCGACCAACTATGCAGGCAAACACAATAACAAAACAGCTTTGTTCAAAAACTTTTACAAAATTGATGCAGATTGTACCTACATTTGGATATAATTTAACGGCTATGAAGCAAAGGAAGCGCTTACACCTGGCTTCCGCGCGCGGTGCGTATGCGCTACCCAGCTGTTTAGTTGCCAGCGTTAAAAAAACATAACCCTTCCCTTGCCTGGTAAAAAAAGGTTTCACATTGAAATATTGCCAGGATAAAGCCTATTAAGTGCTGAGATGAAGGGATTGTAAGTTATTTGCATGTATTACATTTTTTATCGTTTCGACATTGACGTATAGTTTAATTTTAATAATTTATTATTGTGGAGGAAATATTAACTCGTCGAGTACCGGTTTTGTAGACACAATTATAGAACAATAGGTTGCGGTCACCGGTGACCGCTTGGTGTTTGACAGTTTAAAATAAGAGTAACGA